ATAATTTTATAAAATTTGAGGCGATATTGGCTGAGATACATTAATTTGAAAATTTTGTAGCAATAGAAAAGACATTTCCTGTGACCGCTAATGTCTAAGAACTACACCAGTTTTTTACAACCTATGTTAATACATTATCACAACATTAGCTCCTTCATTTGTCCAAATAACTGATATTCTGGATAATATAAAACGGTTGTCAGTTATACGAGATATGCAGTGACGGAAAATAAATCAATAGTTCATAACATTAACCTTATGCCGAAAAGTTATGTCGTTTGCATTACATGATTCCAGTAAGGCCCTCAGAAATCTATACAAAAAATGGGTAAGAAAACTTTGAATTCTGATGCAGTGTATGTAGCACAATCAATTTTCACATAAAAATGCGCAGTTACTCCTTTCTCCTCTTATTCATATCGTCTTACTCATTATTATATTCACTCATTATTATATTCAGAAATAATTTTTTTTTACTGATTTACTGATTATTTATAAAGTAAACGTTAAAAATGGATCACATCAACTTTTCCCTTGTTGACTCTTCTTTCGATAACCTCGATCTTAATGTTTTTTCTTCCACGAAAGAAGAAACGGACATTTTATCTTCAATTAAGGAAGAAATGGACGCTAGAAAAGGTAACTTTAGCTTTATTACGAAAAATAAGAAAAAGGAACTTTCTAAAGTATTTTTCATAGATCTGGATGTTTATCGAAGGAATGACGCAGAACAGAACCACAAAGAAAGTTTACAAGCAATTTCTTCTGCCATACAAGTAAGTCTCAAAGGTTTGGCTTCCTTTTATGTATGACATGATGTTGATACCTGTTCTTTAATGCACATCAGGAACAATCGAGTTTCCAACAGCCCCAATCCACAGCCAATTGTTGTAAAAGTGAATGGAACCACGATCATGATAATTACCCCATGGGATGCCCTCGGCTACCTCTACACAATCAATTTTCCCCTCCCAAAGAAAGACCCCAAGACAAAAAAACCGAAGTTCACAAATCTGAGCCAAGTGAAATTCCTTTTTCGGCATCTCGACCAAATTCGTCGGTGGATAATAATAATGGGAAGTCGCAAAAGTTATCCAACAATGATCAACGTCTCTTGGAAGTCGAACCAGGAAAAAATTATAGGCGTTGCATTTGGTGTATCAATTTCAGCTCCCACCGAGAGAAGAAAGAAAGAATTAGCTTCAATCCGAATAGAAAACGACCAACACCTTTTCCCTCGGGACCAGAATGGAGTCGTGATCCCATCTCAAGAAACGTGGATGTTCGGGAATTGCGCGGAGACGAATGCTTGGACTACTTTATGTCTGTTCAGAACAGATCTCCAAATCAAAACTCGAACAGAATATCTTCTGAAAAAAGTAGTAGTACCGCCATGCATGAATTGCCAAGCTTGTCAGAATTGGTTGAATCGATAATGAATGATCATAAGTACCGTGAATTTTGTGAAAATGAAGATAATTGGTTAATTGACCAGGAATATTTCAGTGACACATATGGAATCACCAAAATTCATCCGCTTCTTGTAGATCGTTACGGAGGATCTCTTATGTTTTTAGATGACCGTAATATTCTGTTTGAATGGTGTGAAATGACACGAAGCATGTATATATTGGGAATTAACAAAATGGAAGGTTTTGCAAACTTCCTCTACCATCCAGAAAAAAGGTGTGTCATAGAGGTAGATGGTAAGTTGATACCTGATATGGAACTTGAACGTCAAGCAAAAGAGTCGGCGAAAGTTGAGTTTACTAATTTAGCAAAAGCATGAAATAAGTAAGATCAGGTTGATAACTGCAACTTTACATATATAAAGCTTCTTCCTCCTCTTTGGTTAGGTTAAATTTATCTTGCTTAAACGAATAATAAATTTTACTTTTGTCTCGAATAAGTTTTAATTTACCTATGCAGTATATATATATTTTGCTATATGTGAGAAGGTTCTTTGCACTTTGGATTTTAAATGTAACACAAAAATTATTATGGTCAATAAAGAATAAACACATTATCATGCGAAAAAATGAAGCCCAATTTGGTTGGACAAGACTTTATTGTATTTTTCGTAAAGTATTATATGAGAGAGTGCAAGTAAAAATGAATGTAAAAATGATGAAGAAGCAGAGTTTCATTAAATCAAGCTCAGATGACAAGATGGGATAATTCAAAAGTTCGAGTTAGATATATAAATAATAAAAAAATCACGCGTAACGATTTATCACGCCGATCACTTTTGCCAAGAAAAATTTTTTATTATTACATGCGAAAAATGATTACAGACTATAATCGTACCCCTATTTTTTCGAACGATATCCCTCTATCCTAGCTCTCTTTCTATCTGATTTATCCTCCACACATGCCCTATCTTCCAACAAGCCAATGATTATACCTAAAACCTTCTTGACGCCCTAGTTCTCAACCAGAGCCTCTTCGACAAATTCGATGCTAAAAGGGGCCTTACTCGCCTGTAAAATTTCACCTGGAGAATAGAGGAGAAAATGCCAATCCCTGGCAGACGTCACAACCCCGTACAGATAGTCAAAATAGTCCTCGTCACGCTTTCGTTTTCTCTTGTTCGTCTGAAACGAACTTTCAAGTTGCTTGATATTCCTTCTGTTAATTTTTGCTGGACCTTGTCCTCTGTGATGCAAATAAGATCATCGGATTCCTACGAGATTATATTTTACGGTATGTTAACGGGTCCCTCTAGGACAACATAAGATCTAGGAGGAGTGGTAAAAAAATACATGGCTTTACCTTGATTGCATAATCGACCCGCCCACTACTTTCATCTCCAATTATTTCGTACTCAGGCCTCATACTAAATTTCTTTTTCGTAATATCTTCTGCGATACGAAGGGCGGTATGTAGTATATTGAAACGTACTCATTACGCATGGACTCCAAACTTGTCATTACCAACGTTCCATAACTTTTAAGTCGTAACTTGATATCTGCCATACACAGTTCGAGATGCTTATTTTCGTCTGGGATTTCGTGGATTCGTGGTGTGAAAAGAGGTATAATCTCTGTGCCCTCAGATGCGAGGTCATATTTTTCTAATACTTCCTTTAAGCTACGGTATGTCGAAAAAGCCCTCAACTTCTTATCCTTGCACTCCTTCGCAAACTTTACGAGTCTCTTAGCAGGTCCACCTGGCATTCCCCACTTCTCAAGCTCTTCCTGGGTCAAGTCAAAGAAGTCCTGGCCCGTAATCTCCTTCTTGCGAATAATATTTTCGTCGTCCAAGTCCAACCCTAAGTCCCGTTCCTGCAAAAACGAAATAAGGGCTCCAGTGTCATATTTTTTTATTTCGTCCGCTAACGTGAGTGTCTCATTTCCAGTAGCGGTTGTGGAGGAAGTGGAGACAGGCGTGTCTACAATATCAGTCATTTTATAGTGAAAATAGGCTCGGATAAAAAATAGTGTTACGTCCGGAGGAAAATAGAGTTTTTATTTCTGGTGGGGAACAGCATGACAGTATTTTGATTTTATTGGTTAACCGATGAAGATTCTGATTGGCTAAACCAATTTCATAAGAAATTAACTTCGCAACACCAATCCTGAAGTTTCACAAAAAGTCTGTAAAAGAAATGATCATCTTTTCGTGTTCTAACCTTGCTCACGTGAATTCTGAAGGTTTTTGATAAAAAAAGATTCCAAGTTTTATTAGATATTTTGGTCTTTAAAAGTTATAAAACCAATATTTTGACTTAGTATAACATGAAGGTATTTCTAAAGTTCCTCCTAGTAAAACTTGGTGGAACTAAGAAATCCTAGAGATCATAATGTATATTAGGGTAGAATAGTAATAAAAGAATGTCTCGATAAAATTTCGTGGCAAACAGACGTGTCCTTCATGTGGTGTAATATGACACATCGTAATTATATATGGATTTACTATATAAATAACTTGTGTAACTAACAATCATTTAAGAAACTCTGTCATGCTGTTTGTGGTACAATGACCTAACTAATTATGCACGATTTAATTATTTTACATTTTGTCAACACAAGTTCTTTAAAATATATATTTAGAAATTATTAATCAATTCAGAAAGACGAATGATAGGTTACCTCTTTTGATATTATTTAAACGTGGGGACAAAATTGAAAAAAACATAATAACTTTGGCGACCAAAAACTTAATTTAGTTATACATGCGCTGTAAACAAAAGGGAAAAAAAAAATTTCCATCGAGATCTACGTATATGTAAAAGAAGATAATAAAAATCTGACCATTCGGAATAAAAGTTATTACGAGATTTGAGATTTTGAATTTGCATAGACGACGGGATTTCCCTAATTGGTGTACGTCCCGTCCCATACTACGTATCGTCGTTAGCATAATATTACGTATGTTGTTTTGTGTTCTATAAAGAATATTTTTTTGACATGCGCGTTACGAAATGGAAAATTCTTATAAATAAACTGTCGCATAATTCACAATTCCTTCATCAAGTCCCTCATTTTTTAATCCTCTTAGAATACTCACTCTCGTTAAAACACCCTATTTCCTTTTTACTTTATAAATTAATAGCGATATAATGAAAATGTTCTTTAAATTATTTTCTTTCATTGCTCTCATTGCGTTCTTTGTAACTTTAGCTGCATCTGCGCCAGCTAAAACTTGTCCATTTTCCCCTGAAGATCTCAAAGATGGAAGTAAACTTAAAACCTTTATTGTTACACTTAAATCACCTTCCGATCCAAATGAGGCTGCAAAAGTCGAGAAAGAACATTTTGATATATTAAAAGAATGTGGAGACAAATCAATCATAAATATACTTGGGGAAATTGTTGATGGATTGATAGAACTACTTCCAGTTTTTAAAAAAGATGTTAAGAAAATTTTAAATTTTACTACCAAAGGACTTATCATATATTCCGGAAGATTTACTCAAAATTTTGTCGATAAACATTTATCTAAACTAGAAGAAATTCTTATCATTCAAGAGGATATTAAATATATATTAGGTGATGATGTTTTTAAAAAAATCGATAAAGTCGGTCTTCCTACTTTACAATCTGGTGACAAAACTAGTGTGATAGTAAGTATAAATACGATAAATAATGATCGAACTTAAAACAATAAAATTTAATAATTATTGTTATTAACGTCAATACAGAATCTTGATCGTGTAGATGAAAGAAAATTTCCATTAGATGGAAAATATCAATCCCCCGAAGGCCAATGCCAAGGAGCGAATGTTTATATTTTAGACACGTAAGTCAAAGCGATTGGCACAGTCATCATTCAAAATTTTTTATTAATTTGATTAAAATTTTCTATTCCTTAGAGGAATTAATACACTCAATCTTGATTTTGGTGGAAGAGCTAAATTTGCTGCTGCCTTTTGTGATGGATGTAAAAAGGTTGACGATAATGGGTGAGTTAATTTTAATATATTTTAACATTTTTCTTTAATATACTGTAATTTAATAACGTAATTCATCGAATATAGTCATGGAACAATTGTTGCTGGAATTGTAAGTACAAACATACTTTGTGACTTTTTAAAATATAGGTGTATTTATAAATATATTTTTATTTTTTATGAAATAGGTTGGTGGTAAAAAATTTGGTATCGCAAAATTAGTGAGATTATTTGCCGTCAAAGTATTAGATTCAGAAGGTTCGGGTTTCATGTCAGACCTACTTTTGGCAATACAGTTTGTAACTCAAAAACATTTAGAATCTGAGAATAAGAAAACTATCATCAAGTACGTATGAAATTTAAAAAATGTTCTTTTATGAGTAATTATAATTTATTGATAATGCTCTTTTTTTTTTAACACAGCATGTCCTTAGGGTTTGGCAAGTTAGTTCCACAAGTTGATCAAGTTATCAAGAACGCTCATAAACAAGGAATTATTACGGTTGTATCTGCTGGCAATGATGATCGAAATGCTTGCGAGGTATCTCCAGCTGCTACTAAAGAAGCAATAACTGTTGGTGCTACTGAACTTAAAAGTGATGAAAAAACAAGTTTTTCTAATTTTGGAAAGTGTGTTGATATATTTGCACCCGGTAAACTTTATTACTTTTTTTTTTTTTAAATAATATTATTAATAATAATGATAAATGAAATGATAATGATAATAATAATTAATAACAATAATTTCTTTACTTTTCATAGGACGAGATATTGAATCGGATTTGCATTTTTTACCAGTTGGTTCTCAAACGGCAAGTGGTACAAGCTTTTCCGCCCCTCATGTTGCTGGTGCTGTTGCTTGTATCATCGCCAATGAAGATTTAAATCCCGAAGAAGCGGCTGAAAAACTTTATAAACTTTCCACGAAAAATACTGTCGAAGGTATCAGCAGTGATACTCCTAATAGATTTTTATTTGTTAAAGGTTCAGGCCCAGTAAAACGATAGAATTTAAATTTTGTTCCCTAAAAAGTTTTAGTTAGTGAAAGCATTTGAATTTTGTAAATTAATGTCATATTACTTACTACAAGGTCTATTAGAACCGTGCGAACATTTTTTAATACTTGTACTGATAATTAGTGTAAAATCGCTATTAGAACGTATCGATCTTCGGTCGATAAAGTTACACAGTAATAGATAAATTAATAAATAGAAATAATTCAAATGAAAGAACGAATTTTCCGTTAATAAATGTTTACCATTGATTGAAAATTAACCAATCATTTGTTGCAAATTATGTTTATAAACAGGTCTTAAGAGCAGCTCATTATAGATCGAAACATTCTAAGAAAAGAACAAGTCCTGCAGGATCATTTGATGATTCATTTCTAGATGCTTACAACCGCTAGAAACCATGAACCCAACTCAACTGCAAATGCAACTTAAATAATCCACACTATCCATCCAATTTCAAAAAGTATTAAGAGATTTTATCTTCTAATAGTAGCATTTAAACGTTTACACATGTTTATTCGCTAATATTCGCTAATTAATGAACCTTGTTATGAAAATCTGTCGTCTCTCGGAACCTAATTTCACGTAATAAATGATTATATTTTTAGACACAAGAACGTTATATTTTTAAATATGAAACAGCGTTGCGTTGCACGAATTTAATTATCATGAAACAAGTAAATGCCATAAATGCCGATCGCAAGTTTGAATTCATAATTAAAGTTTTTTTTCGACATACATTAGAAGAATAATCAATGCATTAAGAGATAAATTTGGAAGTTTTAAATCAGTTCAAATTACGTATTTTTTTTTATGATTTAATTGGGCGTACTTCAAATTCACGTTTAGATATAGATATTACTGCTTCATTAATTATATTTCCAAATAAATTCTTGTGATAGCTTGGCGTAATTCCGCATATAACGTTTGTGTTTTTTTTAATAACATGCACGTTATGATATTGATATGAAAAATTCTAAAAATAAACCCGCTTATATTCACAATTTTTTTTATAAATTCCTTCATTTTTATCCTAATCCTCCATTAATTCTCTTGGAATACCTTCACCTTTAAAATCGTTCATATCAAGAATTTCCAATATTTTAAAAGAATGGTCTCTCTGAAATTATTTTCTTTCGTCGCTCTTATCGCATACTTTGTTTCTTCAGCTGAATCTGCGCCAATTTGTACAATTAGCCTCGATGATCTCAAAGAACCACTTGATACCTATATTGTTATACTTCAAACACCTTCCGATTCAAATGAAGCTGCCAATGTTGTAAAAAGTCATTTTGAAATATTAGAAGGATGCGCAGGCAAATCAATTACAAATATCTTTGGATTATCTGTCCTTGATGGATTGACCTTAGATAATCTTCGAAATAATCCCAAAAATATTTTAAATTTTAGCGTCAAAGGACTTAGTGTATATACAGGAAAATTTACCGATAGTTTTGTCAAGAATCATCTATCCATATTACCAGAAATTTTATCCATTCGAAAAGATATCAAGTATCAATTAAATGATGCGATTTTTAAAGATGTTAAACAATTGATTTTTCCTCCTCCACAATCTACCGACAAAACAAATTTAACAGTAAGCATTAAAATAAAACAATAAATATTAATAATCTAATTTAATAATCTTATTATTTATTATATTATCAATGCAGAATCTTGATCGTGTAGATGAAAGAAAATTTCCGTTAGATGGACTATATCAATCCCCAGATGGAAAATGTCAAGGAGCGAATGTTTATGTTCTTGATACGTAAGTCGTAAGTCGAAGGAATAAAGAATATGTGGCGCAGTCATCATTTAAATTTTTTAGTAATTTGAATATTTTCTTCAGAGGAATTAATACAGGTCATACAGACTTTGAAGGACGAGCAAAATTTGCTGCTGCAGTTTGTACTGGATGTCAAAAAGTAGACGATAACGGGTGAGTATTTTATAATAAATCCTATTTGTAAAATCAAAACCTTTTCCTTAAAAAAAAAAAATTTAATGACATTCGAAACAAATTTAATAGTCATGGAACAATGGTTGCTGGAATAGTAAGTACAACAACACTTTGTGACTTTTTAAAATATAGGTGTATTTAGTTTTTCTTTTTTTTCTTTTTATGATATAGGTTGGTGGTAAACAGTTTGGTGTCGCCAAATTAGTAAACCTATTTGCCGTCAAAGTATTAAATGCTCAAGGTTCAGGTTTCTTGTCAGAACTTATTATGGGAATAAATTTTGTTGTTAACGAGCATGAAAATTCTCAGAATAAGAAAACTATCATCAAGTATGTATAAAATTGAAAGATGTGTCTTTTACAAAACATTATAATTAATCATTTTATTTATTTTTTTTTTGAAATTTATTTGTACAGTATGTCTTTAGGCTTTGGACAACGAGTAGAAGAAGCTGATCGCGCAGTTAAGAACGCTCATGATAGAGGTGTTATTGTTGTGGTAGCTGCTGGAAATGAAAATCAAGATACTTGCAATGTATCTCCAGCCGCAGCCGATGGAGCAATAGCTGTTGGTGCTACTGAACTTTCAAATGATAAAAAAGCCGACTTTTCTAATTTCGGAAAGTGCACAGATATATTTGCACCTGGTAAACTTTTTTTATTTCCCACCTTTTTGTTAATAACGATCATAATAACATTAATATAATGATAATAAATAATGATAATTATCTTTATAGGACGGGATATAGAATCAGCTCTGTTTCTTTCTCCAGTTGGTTCTCAAACGGCAAGTGGAACAAGTTTTTCTGCTCCTCATGTTGCTGGCGCCGTCGCTTGTATCATCGCCAAGGAAGATTTAAAACCCGAAGCAGCAGCTAACAAACTTTATAAACTTTCCACGAAAAATACTGTCGAAGGTATCAGCAGTGATACTCCTAATCAATTTTTATTTGTTAAAGGTTCAGGCCCAGAAAAAGAATAGAAATTTCATTCTTCTCCTTAATAGATTTGTGATTATAGATTAATTAATCCTTTTATTCTTTTGAATTTTGTAATTTAATGTAATTAAATAAAATCACATAATAAACGCTGTAATGACTGGAAAAATATATTAATATAGTAAGTAACGAATTTATTCGTAATCTGACAGAAATAAATCAATTGACCGAAAAATCTACCGCGATATTTAATGGGTGGCATCACATAGTATGGGACAGCTAACAGCAGATCTAACACCAAAGATTATGAATTAGCCAATGTTGTTGTAATTATATTTAAAGTAATTGTTCTTTTGATGAAAAATAGGAAATACTTGTACTTTCTATGTAGTAGTTTTCATTTAAATATTAAATAAACTAAAAAGGTAAATTTGAAAATTGAGATTCAGGTTTCAATCTAACTTACAGTAGTTAAGTTCCCGTTGGTGACGTATACATATTTTGGTTGCTGGGCATCATTGGAGTATGATATGAGAGTGCAGCACGTTGGCCTCCATTGGTCCCAAATCTATTTTTAGTTGGGCATAAATTTCCCCAATGTCCATGTTGTTTACAGTGAGGGCAAGAACGAAAGAAGCATGTCAGCAGTTCGTTATAAATGCATAAATTTTTTATTTATATAATAAAAAAAGAATTTATTTTAATTTTTTTTTTTTCATGAAATTTTTTTTTCAGTTATTAATTTATTTATTGGCAACGGCAGGAACCAATCAGACGAAATCGCTAATCGGTACACTGCATAAAAATAATAATAATTCTTCGCTGTGATCCAATAAATATAAATCAATAAATTATATTAGGTATATTTTCACCGTCCTAAGAAAAAAAATTTTTTTTTATTAATAAATGTAAATAATTAAATTTTGACTCAATGACCCATTATTTTAGTAAAATTATATTTACAACCACAGATAAAATTTCATGGTACCAGCAAAAAAAAAAAAAAAATTGGAACCAAAAATGTGTTGATAATTACGCTTCAATTACCTAAGCTAAGAATGATAACTAGGAACTTGATTTAGGAGATCGAAATTCTCGAATTCATTTAAATGGTCATAATGCATGATCACACTTTGTTCAAGCAAATTTTCGTGATTCACACAATAAAGTTTTGTAGGAAAATAAGTTATTTGGGAAATTTTAAATAAATTCATAACGGGAACGAATAAAAAGTTCATTTATGTCGACCCTAATTGGTGTAGATCCACGCTGATGCATCTGATTAAAATTGTGTTAAGCTTGGCTAAAGATAACATAATTTCGCATAACAAAATTTTAACGTGCCCTTACGATATGAATTCGTTTCGTATAAAAGGGTTGCTACAAACTTCCACAATTTTTTATCAATTCCTTCATTTTTTTTTTTAATCCTAATTCACCATTAATCCCCTTAGGATACCTTCACTCTCTTTAATTTTACGTTAAACACCACATATAGAACCTTTTAAACATTCACCTTATAATATTTAATAGTAATATGAAATTAATTTCTTTAATTGCTCTTACTACACTCCTCGTAACTTTAGCTGAATCCGCGCCAGCTAAAACCTGTTCATTTACCGTTAAAGATCTCAAAGATGGAAATGAACCTCTTGATACCTATGTTGTTACACTCAAAACGCCTTCCAATCAAAATGAGGCTGCAAAAGTCGAGAAAAACCATTTTAATTTATTAAAACAATGCGCAAACAAAAAAATTAAAAATATATTTGATTTATTTGATCTTGATGATAAAGTTCTTGATCAGATTCAAAAAGATTCAAAAAACATTTTAAATTTTAGTGTCAAAGGATTTAGTGTATATTCAGGAAAATTTACCGATAGTTTTGTCAAGAATCATCTATCCAAGATACCAGAAATTTTATCAATTCGAAAAGATATCAGGTATCAATTAAATGATAATGAACTTAATCTTAATAAAAAAATTTTTAAATCAAATGATGATAATGATGATGACAATACCAGTTTAAAAGTGAGTATATAAAATAACAAATTAATAACAATAAGATATTCGAATTTAAAATAATTTTTATTTTATTACAGAATCTTGATCGAGTTGATGAAAGAGAATTTCCGTTAGATGGAAAATATCAATCCCCAGATGGAAAATGCCAAGGAGCGAATGTTTATGTTCTTGATACGTAAGTCAAAGTGTTTAAAATAATTGTGACGTAGTCATCATTTAAATTTCTATTAATTTGAATTATTTTCCTTAGAGGAATTAATATTCGTCATGTAGATTTTGAGGGAAGAGCCAAATTTGCTGCTGCCTTTTGTACTGGATGTGGAAAAGTAGACGATAACGGGTGAGTATTTTATAATAAATTCTATTAGTAAAATTAAAAACATTTCCTTTAATAATTTTCAAAACACATTTAATCCATTGAATAAATAGTCATGGTACAATGGTTGCTGGAATAGTAAGTACAAAAACAACTCTGGGTGAATTTTTTTAAAAATAGGTGTATTTGATTTATATATATATTTTTTTATTTTTTTATGATATAGGTTGGTGGTAAACAGTTTGGTGTCGCCAAATTAGTAAACCTATTTGCCGTCAAAGTATTAAATGCTCAAGGTTCAGGTTTCTTATCGGAACTTATTATGGGAATAAACTTTGTTGTTAAAGAGCATGAAAAATCGAAGAATAAGAAAACTATCATCAAGTACGTATTAAATTAAAATTTACAAAACATTTTAATTAATCATTTTATTTATTTATTTATCTTTTTCTTTTTGAAATTTATTTGTACAGTATGTCTTTAGGCTTTAATCAACGAGTAGAAGATGCTGATCGCGCAGTTAAGAACGCTCATGATAGAGGTGTTATTGTTGTGGTAGCTGCTGGAAATGAAAATCAAGATAC